GACGTAAGTTCACCACTATCGAAGCTTCGGACGTCATTGATCACATGACTTTTACCAAACGACTCAAGCTCCGACACAGTGCTGCTGAAATAGTGTGATGTTTTTTCCAATACATGTGCCGAAGCTTCATCTTCAAACTGCCCATCACTACTGCTCATCATTCCTTGGCTCACAGACTCAACCCCTAGGATCCCACTCACCTCTCCCTGGCTGACCTGCTTCATCTTCATAGTAAGCTAAGCTCCTGTTCTTCTGTGTTTACTATATACACCTTCCTGGTCTCATCACCTTCGTCCTCCACCAGTGTTCCTGACACCCTGCCCTGTGTCTGCTGGACCACGATGGACCAAGATCTCTCATTTGAAATGAACATCTTAAAACTTGTTTCCTGGAGTGTTTGCATATGTGTCAAGAAACTTTCTAAAACCATGACAAGAAGGGAAACTTCACCAAAGTGAAACATAAATCTGTGGATCTGTGTTTGATTACTCTGCCTGGCTTTCTCAAGGACCAGGATGTGACACAAAAAACTGAATTATGGAACTGAAAGTGAAAGTAGTCAAACTGAATTTTTAATAAACCAAAATACAGTTTCAAAGCAAATTAATTCAGATACAAAACTTTAAATTCAGTTTCAAGTTAGTAAAATTCATTTTCAAGCCAGTGCATTCAGTTTCAAATTATGCACGTTCAGATTCAATCTGAGTAATTCAGATTCAGTTCCTGCTGACACAAGATTTATCCCATAGATTTAATTCAAACCCTTGTCTGTACATCCAACATGGCCACATCCGAGGTGATGGCATCACATGAAGGAATTTTATATTTTCTGTCGACCTAATTTTGTTGTCAGCTGTTCGCAAACTCTGCTTCAGATAAAATACAACACTTTTTTCCCTCACATTATTGTAGCTGACTTGTCAATAGTTTGTTGACATTTGTGCAGGTAGTTTCCTGCATGCTAAAGTCATCGTGTGTTTTTTGTTTCACTGTGTAAAAATAATGTAACAGTACAGAAGTAGTAGGGTTCTTTTGGTCAGAGGGTCGTTTGTGAGCCTCTGCCGCTGTCCAGCAGGCGTGGTGCTGAAAAGCTGAAGTTGTGGCCTCGTGTCTGCTATAGCAAGTCTTTCACACCCCAGCTGAAGTTAACCTCCTAACCCAACCTAATCTAACCCTAACTCTAACCATAACCTAACCTCCTACCCGTGACTGATCTGAGCGGACACACGCAGGGAGTGACCACCAGCATCAGCCAGCGGACAAATCACGGTCAGATCAGCCGCCGCTCTCACTGAAGCCTCACAACAAGCAAACTCAGTCTTTTGCTCCATTTTGAACACACGTTCCGTGCTGTGGCGTTAATAGACTCAAAAACAAAACGGTTCACCCCCACCCCCCACCTCCCTAAGCCGCTGAAACCTCGGCATAAGCCCCATCATGAGGCGGAGGTAGGCGGCCGCGTCGTTCCTACGTACCGATTGTAGTCGGAGGAGAAGATCTTCCCGCTCACCGGGTCGTAAGCATACTCAGCCTCCCCGACACTGGACGAGCCCAGCTTCTCTTCGTTGAAAGCAGAGCTGGCGGACATCTTCGTGACTTTGTGTTGGTTTGCTCGCACACAGACACCTCTGTTATCGCTTGGATGCGGAGGGAGACAGTGGGCGGATGAGAAGGGGGAGTGATGAGGCGCCGGTCACGTGGTTTTCAGACGACGTGATGACGTTTAAGTTTCATTTCAAAACGTGGGGCCATTAATATTATAGGCCCACACAACGAGATCTTTAAATGACAATTACGAGATTAAAGTTGTAATATTACGAGAATAAAGTCATAATATTATGAAATTAAAGTCATACAAGATTAAAGTCATTACGAGATCAAACTTGTAATATTACGGGAATAAAGTCATATTATTATGAGAATAATGTCATAATTACGAGATTAAAGTCGTTATGTTATTAAAGTCAAAATTTATAGTTATTGTTTTGTAATGTTTTATTGTGTTTTTGCCCTGAACAGACTCATTCAGGCAGTTGTAACACAAACTGATGGGACTCCATGTGTTTATTAGTTACATCAGTTTTGTTTAATAACTGTTTTACTCTGTAACTGCCTGTGTCAGTTGTTTTACACTGTTAACTGTATTTTAAATGTTTCATGAGGAAAGAAATGAAGTTGTGCTTGGAAATGTAAAATTGTTAAATGAATGTTTTTGGAAAAACACTATTTGATCACATGTTAAAAGTAAAATAATGGTTGGTTTTTTTTTATTTTCAGTGATTTTTGGTCAACCGTAGCACAAAAACAGCTGCACCGATCAACATGAAATTAGTCAGGACTGTAGATGAGTCTGACCTACACTGATCCAGCCAACGGTTTTATGATAGACCCCATATTTGAGGAGGGGGCTCCTTTCAAAGAGGGTCTGTCAGGATATGCAAAAATGCTTATAACTCAGAAACTGTTCTGTTGTTGTTTAGCTCTGATGACGCTCTATCCATCAGGCCCACCAATCAGTGCCCCCCACCACCCTGGACCTCCAATCTCTCTGAAAAAGTGGTATCAGGACATACAAAAATGGTTATGGCTCAAAACCTATTATAGGAGCTTCAGATTTTCTTTTGTGGTTTAGCTCTCATGAGGGACTATCCATCAGGGCCACCCACCCCCTGCCCCCCAAAAAAAAAAAGACCCCCACCCAAACCACTA